AAATTCGAAAAAATAGCTGTTGGCTTACAACCAATGAATAAGTGGAAGTGTAGGCAAACAGGAGTGGCAAGCCTTTTTCATCCAATCTGCAAACACAACACTTAGCAGCTAGACAATTCCTAAAACTAGCCGGCGCTGACAGGGCTGAGGAGTCCTCTTAAGAGGCTTAGTCTCTATGGAAGTGAGTGTTAATGAATGAAATACTATTTAGTGGATGATACATAATAAAGCCTCTTGTCTGGCACTCTTCAAAGACCAACATCCTCTGACCCGCTACTCCAAACTTGAGCCGAGAGATTTTTTTTTTTTTTTTTTGCGTTAAGCGCGCCGTATGAGAGGGCAACCAGACAAAACAGACACTTAAGTTGTCTATGTGCAAAAGGAGGAGGGAGGAAGAGAGTGGGAGAGGAGGATGAGAGGGAGAGAAAAGGGGAGTGGGGCGGTGAATGTGGTGGGTCACTCTGTGTCTGAGGCTAGACAGGCTTAGAGAATATTCACCCGTGAACTGCAGACTTTAACTGCTGCTAAATATATCCTCATAGCGGGGACAGATGGATTTTTTTTTATTGTGATTTAGCATCTTTGTTGTCCTGATTATCCCCCAATGTCCAAATGTGAAAGAAGAGGCCTGTTTGAAGGCTGCTTTCACACTTTCCCAACACTCTGCATCAGGGAGTCTGTCGCTCCAGATTTATCTCGACTGATAGACAAAGGATCTCTCAATCTGATTTCAATTTGGCTCTTTAAAAACAACCAACAACAGGCCTTTCGACCGAACCGCCCCGCCGCAATCAGGCCCCCACATCTTTCGCGCAGATGTGATGTCACTTGCCAAGCGAGCTTTAAATTCGCAAGAAGCCAAAGATTTCAGATTAGTAAACTCAACATGCCAATCATCAAATGGGCTTACCAATTTAATAGCCTCTTCCTCTTTTCCCCGTCCTCCTCCCTCCTTCTCCCTCAATTCCCCGCAGCCTAATAACTGTCCTCCTCTGTCTCGTAAAACCCTAGTGCCTTTAGAGAACTCTATAACAGGGCTTCACAAGCGCTTTAAGATTATGGTGTTGTCTTTATGTGGAGAGAGGGAGCGCGCTTGGCCGCGGCTGGAGCAAGGAGTCGACGCTCAGACACTCGGGCGTAAGTGGGGAGATATTGTGTTGCATATCGAAGCAGCTGTTATGGTTATAACCGCAGAGTTGTTTCTGCAGAGGGCCGCAGAGAGCAAAGCGAAAAAAGGCCCGACTCTAATTGACTGAGGTCACAGACATTCCGTGTAAAGCTGTGTATCAGTGGCCAGCCAGTCGGACCCTGGGAGCTGCCCAGCATGCTTAATCAAACAGTAATTACAAACAAAAGCAGGTCGGCATGGGCACTCCAGGGAACAGCTTTGGGCACTGGAGCTCCATCACGCAGGTCTATTTGTCTGGCACCGCTTCTGAAATTCACACAATGGCCTCAAAGTTTAGCTCGTAAAAAAAAAAAAGGTCAAACTTCGGATTTCAAATAGAAAAGATTGAAACAGACAGGATTGCGACTAAATGTTGTTTTAATTATTTAATCTATATATTCTCAGAGCTTTTTTCTAATCTGTTGCGGATTAAAAAAAACGAAACAAACAGTCCAAAACCCAAAGATACTTGATTTAATCTCATAAAGCAGCAAATCCTCACACTTCAATAACAGGAACTCAGTAAGTTGAGGCAAGAAAAATTTACTAAAAGCTGAATTATATGTCTTTTAAGCTGCTGGACATGTAGTGTGCTGAAGGTTTTCAGACCTTTTTTGGTCAGAACAGTCATTTAATCTGCTGTTATTATAAAAACATTGCTTAAATCTGCAGTAAAATTGCCCACAAATGCCATCAAACATCCTTATCACAGAATTAGTTCAGATTTTTGACCTGCAGGAGTTCCTCGTCCTTCATAGCCTAAATCCGTCTGTAATGGAGACGGCCAAACAAACAAACTGTAGACACGCAAGTTCCTGTAAGGTTTGCATTTTTTGGACAGATGAGAACTAAGGACAAGATAATGAGCGTCGCACAAACATTCAGTTTTTTTGGAGCAAATTCAAAATATCGTTTGCCCCGGCCAAAATGCAACCTCATCTAAACGAGGTTATTCAGAAACGCTCACCACACGGCGGGCAGCGCACCGCGTCCTGCTCGGCCCGGTCGGCAGAGGCGGTGTACGAACCCGGCATAACCCCTCAGCGGATCGAGATCTTTGTTTGATTGGTCCAACCAGAAAGCAATTCACACTTATTGACAGCCTGATGAATGACTGTCGTGCTGACATGCGCTGAATGCCCAAAAGCGAGAGTGCTCTCGTTGCCCTCTTCCATGTGAGACGGAGGCCACTGTACTGTAAACAGCTGAGGGCCTCTCTTTCTGGCCTGTCTGGGTGAGCATTAGAGTACTTCCCGCCGTCGCCAGCAACAGCATGCCACAAAGGAACCTCTGTGGCCGACAACACTGAAGTGGCCACTGTCTTTTTCGTGAGTCTCAGGGTGTCTCACAAACTTTTTTCCATGCAAGCTTCTTTTCTTTCACCCCCCTCCCCATTTTTTAGAGGCCCTTTTTTTCCTCTCCTCTGCTGTTCCTCTCAGTGGCCCCTACTGAGAGGACAGAGACAGACACTCCGCCCAGCCAAAGGTTTGTCTGCCAGTATGGCCAGCTTTGGTCTGGGACAAAAGCACACTGACGCTGCCCACACTGCTCTGCTCCCCCCTCCACCTCCACCCCCACCCCCAAATAACAAGTCCACAACAGACTCCCACATTCTCCCCAAACTCCCTCTTTCTCTGTTATCTTCTATCTCCTTCGTCTTTTAATGACAAAGCATTAACTTCAAAGATCAGCCTGTGTTTTGTACAGTTGGTGCGCCGCTAACCTCACATGCATGCTTATCATTGTTTAGGCTGTGCTGCAGCACTTAATGAAAAGAGGCTCCAAAGACCCCGTCTGGTGCAGAGCTACGAGCTGTAAAAACCCAACTACAGCCATCCCACATCATTTATGGAAGAAGTAATCCTGTGCAGTCACCTGTTGTCCTGTAAACTGGCATGCTGAAGTGAAAAGTGCTTTTGGAGCCACACCAGGTGACAAACACGTCAAAAGCTGACAAAGTGACGACTCACAGAAAGGCCGAGATGTTCGGCAGACGGAGAAAACACATAGAGGTTTGATAATGCAGCACGCTGGCATGCACTTAAATAATTAGTTTTATGCTCATAAACATCACGTATATGAGAAACTGTAAACCAGAAAGCCTGTTTCTATAAGCGAAATAGGATTTTAGAAAAACTTCACTTTCCTGCAAAAGTTTACGGGACAATTTCTTGGCCGTGTCTGCATGTATTCAGCAGGGCAGCAACTAACAAGTGTTTTCATTATCTAAAAAAAAAAAAAACACCCTCCTCAGGTTGTCTCATATCTTCAGTTTGATTGATTTGTCTTTATAACAGTCCAAAACCTAAAGATTTTCCATCTACAGTGATGCAGACAGAGAAAAAGCAGCAAATCGTTGAAACAGAAGAGTGGGGATTATTGAAAGTTTCTTAAAAGTTGAACTGATTATCAACTAACTTATTAACCGATGGTCAGTTAAGCTTGTGTGTAATCCTTTGACATGTATGCTTCAGGAATTCAGGGGGAGAGGAAGTGTTGTGGCAGCAGAGAGGCAGGATCAATGTGATAAAAAATAAAAATTAAAAAAAGCCTCTTGAAGTGTAAATGTACTACAAAACTGCATGTAAACATGTTAGCTGATTGTGTGTGGCCTGGTTTGCCTGTTCGCACGCGGATTCAAAATCAAAGCAACAAACGCACACTGTTCCCACACTTAACTTGATAAATATAAACACTAATGAATAATCCTCACAAGCACCAGAATTCTCCATAGTGGAACATCCATCCATCCACCTAAAGCTGAAAATAGTTTTCTAAAAGTGAGGTTACCTCTATCTGCTCATTTCTGCTCGAGGTTACAGCAGCCTCTAATAGTACGACACACCTGAATCTCCAACTGAACTCATCAGGGGCCGTGTACGCACCAGGTTTTGGCCAAAACAATAAAAAAAAAAGGAACCAAGCAAAAGTTTTAGAGTGATCGCGTGAACATATTACGGCTCTGCCACGCCAGTAGGGGCAACGCAGTGAACATGCAGCTCAAACAGGAATTGTTGGTGCTAAACGAAGGCGCCTCCAGCGAGTGTCTAAGCTTGAGCCTTTTGAACAGAGCAAAAATAAATCACGAGTGTTTCTGATCACAGCCAGTATTCAGTCAGTGATAACCCGGGTTGAGGCTCGGCGGTATGCACGGCGGAGCCAAGACACAACACATACATGTTATGACAATCCTTCACTACAATGCCGCCACTCTTTCCTCTTTATTAACGGATGTGAAGACGGATTCCACGGCAGTGTGGCTGGAAGTTCATGGTTATGTCAGGGGCAAATTAGTTTGCATTATACTGAGAGGTGTTTTAATACATCAACATTTCTAAAAATTTAAGGTGGACAAAATACTAGAAAATAAAAGCCATTGTAAAAAGAGACAACACAGCAAAATGTACAACATGGGTCTGCATTAACTAATGAGTGTTAAGCTTTTAATTTGTTCCAAATCCTGAATGAATTTTTTCTTTCAAATGAAAGCTGATCTGATTTTTAGTCCAATCAAACTCTGCCACATTCAACCTAAACTCTATTCAGTAAAACACTCAGTAGTTCTTCTTTAATAACTTGCCATCAGAAGCTGCGAGGACTGCAAAGAGAGGATTAATCTGAGCTGTGAGGCTTCACAGAACCAGGAATGCTAACCTTTTACGATTATCTTGTCACAAAAGCCCACTGTCTAGTACAACCTCATTTTGGCAGCATATTAGGAGAGTTTTTCTTTTTTTTTTTTTTTAACAGTTCTTCTAGAAAAGTAATTGGAAGACAGTAGAGCAGACAAACACCAATCCATGTGTCACGTTGACTAGCGAGGGATCCTTACCAATTTCTCATTAATTGTAATAAGCTGCGTGTCTTGTCCTGGTTTCTCTGCCAGCCTCGATGTTGATGTGCTTGTAGACCTGAAAACCATTAGGTAGACGTTACACGCAAAGCACAAACCGCCGGAGGCACACAAGTGACACAGAAGTAAATGACACACACAAGTGACGCTCGGCAACCGCCGACTATCTCGGAGGAAGCGGTGGGGCGAGGACACAGTGAAAAGGAAAGGACAAGGAGGGAATCCCCCCCGCCACCTATTAGTTCTGTCTGGTGAATCTCTGGCAGACTCTCGCTCTCATCCTAATGACAGGACGTGCTTCATGTTGGCTGTGGTCAACTGTCAGGCGAGGACTGTGTGGCTCTTTGTGAAAGTGCAGCCGTGTCCTGTCACAAAACCGCAATGTGCCATCACGGCTGAGCCAGGGGACGGCACATTCCAGCTCAGGTCCAGAGAATCACAATTTTATATTTATTTAAAATGCATGTCTAATCAACAATAAAGTCTTAGGTCTCATATTTATCTAAAACATAAAGAAAACTGACTTGAAATCCCTCTGACCAACAGAGCTATGGTTTTGAGTTTAGAGGTTCTTATTGAAAAAAGGTTTCTGCTCCTTTGCTGGATGAAGACTTGTAGAATGTTCTCACTTACAGAGAAATGGAGAAAACAAACGAGTGTGTGGAAACAACTGGTTTAACACATTGTTCCACTGATTTAACAGACTAATAAACTGATTAAAAATGAAAATAAACGAATTTTTTTAAGCACAAAAGTCAAATATGTGTTGTTTCCACATCAAAGACGACAGCTCCACTTTTTCCTTTTGATAGTGTCATAAATTAAACGTTTGCAGCTTTCGCCTGCTGAAGTCCACCAGTTATATTTTACCGCTGATAATGAAAACAGTATTTGTTCCGGTGTAATTATATTTATGACGCTTGAAACGAGTACCATGTGCAACAGTTTGTTAAACTCTTTGTTCAAGTATTGATCTGCCTTTTCCCTTACTTTAGCCAGCAAACCGTCTAAATAATTGATGGTACTGATTTATGATCATTTTTATCTTTACCAGCTCGCCTTTAGGCCACAAAACTCATTCACAGTTTGACAATTTAATTTGCATTTGGACATGTATAGTTTGGTTGCACAATCAAACCTGTCATCTAATAACGACCTCGTCTAATTGATGATGAGGCCAGTGTCGAATTATAAGAGCCTATTAGTTGTATTTGTGCAAAGAGAACAGATCACACTGTTTGATTCTGTACAAGAAAACAAAACCTGAAAGCTAATTTAAAAAAACTATCTTAATACAAGTCTTCCTGCAACATGCACTGGACAAAAAAGTTCCTCTTGCTTAATGCTCACTCTTTGCACAACTTCTATTCCTGACAAAGAATTAATCTTTGCACAAAATGTTTTTAAGCAGTAGTTAAGGGGTAATTCAACAGGCACAGAGAGGCAGGCTTGCACAAATTACGCAAAAATTCATGATTAGAGCAAATGAAAGTGAAATACGTCAGCTGACTGAGTTCAAAGTGAGAGATACTAACAAAACTAAATGATGTATTACCGTCAGTCTGTACCTCATTATGTTGTGGTGAGAGTTTTGGCTGTTCATGGCATTTTCCAAAATGCATCTAGATTTTGCTGAGTGCAAATAAAAATCAATCAATCTGTCAATATGATAGCAGAGCAAGTAGGCAGTCACTGATCATCTCATTCATTGTATTCATTGTCAAATGAGATTGGAGGCATATAATTTAACTGCCCTGAGTGCCAGGAATAATGACAGTGTATTTATTTTCCAAAATCCCAGATACTGTCTACTGTGATATCACTGTAGCACATCATCTCCCAGCAGATACTTTATTATCACATCCTGCACCTACATATGCTTAAAATCCACAATATATCCAACACATTTACAGTATTTGATTGTGACTATTTCGTGATACAGTTGCCTGCCTTCAATGTCTGTTGAATGACAGAAGACTAGACTTCAGAGAATATTTTGGAGCAGCACAGAGGACAGAAAAGGACAGCATGGAACAACACAAACAGATGGAGCTACTGTAAGAAATGCGTTATTAGTATTTGTATAATTAAGATCTGGTGACTAAGAATCCTACCATGAAGTGCATGGATGTAATAACAGGACATATTTCACCCAAAACCACCTTTAACCATCAATGCAAAGGCGTCTTGACATAAAGTCAAGACTGTGCTGTGCTAGTTTGATGCTAGCTGTTAGCTTCCTTGCTGCAACTGTTGACTGTGAGGTTAACTGTGGAGAGAGACAGTCTTTAGGTCTTTACATGTTTTATTAAATAAAGTTTCCCGTCCCGCCGATTATTAGTGACGGTATGCAAGACGTGTTGTGTGCAGCAGCGAGCGACGTTTAATTGTGTTAGTTCCTAAACTGATTTCTAGCTCGACCTAGCTTTAGCTAATTAGCCGGCTAACCAAGTGCAGTAAGGACATTAACGTTATCTAATAGCGCGGGCAATCTGAGGCCTACACGTGCAAGCAAGGACGTAGTTAAGTATGTTAAGTCATACTTTATACCCAAAAGAAATCTGAAATCTTTTGCCATTCCTTATTAAAGCGCTCCAACGCTGGTTAGCTTACAATCACTTATTAGCCTGTGACGTGACAGACGCACGGCCTCCTCGTTTAATCGACTTTTTACATTAAAATGTGCCGCTAACTCAACTCACAGCAACACGCAGGAGTATAACATTGACAAACAAGCAATATGGAATTACCTGACAGAGTTCAGGAAGATTTTAGAGGTTACATTGATCGCTGATAAACGTCCCAAGCCGAGAAGTGACATTGAGGACGCCATGTTTGTTGTCAACAACGAAGTACGGCGGCCGCGAAGGAACAAACCGAGCGACGGCGAGAGAGCGAGAGCGAGAGAGAGAGACAGCTGGCAGATGGAGGGCTGGTGCCAGAGACTAAAATTACTTTACAAGACATGTCCAGACACATCAAGCATCTATTTTCTGCGCTGATATTTGTTTCGTATCACAAAAACGATGCTGATAGTTTAATATGAAGAAAAGAAGCTGCATATTGAAATAATTTCGCTTTTTGGTGTTTAGTAATTGCCTCATAATTGAGGAAGAAATATTTCTGCAGATTTTCCCTGCTATTTTTTGTGTGTGTCTGCATGGAAATGTGATCAATATGTTGTACTGTGTAATATCCTAAATTATTGTTTGGCTAATCTGTGGTTCAAATATAACCAAAAGTTTTATTAAACTTTGTTGAGTTTTTGAGTTTCCTCTATCATGTCTCAGTTTAAGCAAGTGGGACGTGCATCTAATGTGATGAAATAAAAATATAATGCATGTTCACGGTGTGTAAGGCTAAACCACAATTACTGATACAATAAATAAAGTTATTTTTATCATAAATCTGTGTTTTGTGGAACAGAAAACGTGGGATATGTGGATAAAATCCTCTGCTGGGAATATGAAAGAATTCATATAGTATAGTTTCTCCCAGATGAGCTCAGAAACTGTTTATAGCTTCTTAGAAGATGAGAGTAATGCTTGTTTTCAGCTAGATGCTCATCTTGCAGCATCACTATGCTAGACTGTATGTAGGTTTTCCTTTCTATCAAACACATGCACCGACACTCTGATATGTTTAAATATTCACCAGAGATAAAACAACACAGACCGAAAGAAGTATAAGGAAAAAAACTTTTATTGTTTCACTCTTCATATCTGTACAAATACCATCAAACTTTGTATGTACATATGACATTTACATAAAAAATACAAAACTATATATTCATAACAGAATTTTGTATTTCTCTTGCGATGCTTGAAAATAAAAATGCATTCTGAGGAGAAAAAAAAAAGGGGGAAAAAAAAAGGGAAAACAAACCAAACAAAAAGGAACAAAGTGAAGAAGTCTGATATAGTGTGGAGTACTGCAGTACATTAGTCCTATTTAAGCTCTGTGAGAGCAATATGGAGCACATTGGCAAGAAGACAGCTCACAAATGTTAATGGCACATTGTTTCCAAAATAATCAAGTATCATCCAAAACTTACCTCTGCTCTAATGTGGTGAGACGAAATAAATGCTATGGAATTACGTCTAAAGTTGTCGTCTCCTTGTGGAAACACACCTAAAGGGCTAAAAACCGAAGTTAAAAAATAAGAAAAGAAAAACAAAATGGCTCTTTTTTTCTTTTCCGTTTCATCACTGCTGTGTTGCACCTTTCGCGGCGCTCTTTTGCAAAAAAAACCATTGAGAGAATCCCTTTGGTCAGTTATTATAGTTGTAAACAAACCAGAAAACACTTCTGTACATAAAATGATTGATATATTCCCAATAAATAAACACACAGTCTAAACATGCATTTACGTATGTGTGACATAAACATCTGTGATAGAGATTTGACAGAACAAGCAGATTTTTACAGCTCAGGGAATGCAATTTACAGCTTGTAGAGGACTTATACTTACACGGTAACATGACAAATAAATAACACTGTTTTTCTTTGGACAAATATATTTCTTCGTGATAAAAAAAAAAAAAGTAAAAGGGACAACAACAAAAAGAGAGGGGAAATGAGTGGTAACACAATATATCATGGTAGATGATAGCCTGACAATGTAAATGTATAAATTATAAAACACAAAAAAAGTATAAATAAACATCTAGCAGACTGAACTATATGTATACTTCCTTTTTCTTTAAAAAATAAATAAGCATACACATAATGTACAGTATGGACATGATTCCTTGCCCTAGGACTGTTCCCCTAGTGATGGGAGCCTATCCATCCAGTACAGAAGATAAATGGAAATAGGCCATGTAGTCTGAGTCCTCATCTTCCTCATCCTCCTCCTGGTCTTCTGTAATGGCTATATGGGAGAATATATGGTAGCTGTTGTATGAATACGGACCACAACAGCTCAGAATATCACTGAATGTCAAAAAAAAAAAAAAAAAAGCTCACAATAAAGCCACTGGCACACAGCCTCCCTTTTGTTTCTCTTTTTTCATGTGTGTGTGTGTGTGTGTGTGTGTGTACATGATTGTGTTTGTGTATGTGTGGCGAGTGTGTGTGAGGAAGAATCTGTGTGACTTGGCAGCAACAATTACTGTGGCATCCCCAATTATACAACGTCCATTTACATAATCTAGCAAGTCAGGGCTGCAACATGAGAAAACAGAGGGATGATGGAGAGAAGGGGTGGCAGGGGAAGGTGGGTTAAGTGGGGTGGTGGGGGGAGGAGGAGGAGGAGGCTGGGTGGCGGGTAAAAGGGGGCACTGGGGCTGATGGTTCCAGTGGCTCGGGTCTCTTTTTGGGCAGATTCCTGAAAGCAGACACACATAACACAGAAAAGTGCTCTTGTGTTCTCGGATTTGCTAGTTTCGGATTATTAGTTTTAGCTTCTGGCTCAAACGTACAGGGAGGGAGGACTCTGTGTCGCAGCCTGGCCTTAGCAAGCAGGTCAGAGATCATCAACACAGTTCTGAGGTATTTTTCTTTTCCTTTTTACAGAAGAGATTTACATTGGACACATATATCTTTAAAAAAAAAAAAAAAAAGCACACAAGCGAGCGCAGGAGTGACAACACAAAAAAAAAAAGAAAGAAAAACAAAAACAGGCAGTCCCTCATTAATCCAAATGGATTTCTGTTACATATTCTGGTAGACAGCACATTCACTGGAAACAACATGGATGGTAGAAAGTTAGCTGTTAACTTCTTTTTTTTGTTTTTTTTCCCTAGAAGTAAGAGAGTGCGGTTCTACAAGCTTATGCTCATCCTGCACACTGTAAAATTATCACATTTATATTTTGCTCATGAGGTGATCATAAAGTTGGTCCCTTGGATTCATACCTTAGGCACATCACGTTAGGTCGGTCAGGAGAGGGAAACTAACAAGGAGACATTCTCATAAATAGCAACTTGGAATGTAAATCTGATACTTCCTTGAGGCTATTGTTCAATTTGATGGTTTTCCGCCCAGATCCGTGAGCTCGTGAGCGGCTCACGCTGGTCTACAGGTAGGTAGTTCACACGAATATCAATCTGCTGTCATTGTCACTTACATGGCACCAATGTTACAATCACCTTATGCACGTCATATGAGTATATTTGAACGTATTCTCTTCTTGTTGGCATGTTGGCAGTGTGGTGTATGTCACATGAGGCAGTGCATTTTGAATTGATTGATTACAGCCAAAAGCAACAAAAAAATTAAAAATTAAAGAAAAATAATACAAAAACAAATACACCATTACCAGGAAGTTAGCAATGTGACTGTGGAATTTACAAGCTGTAAAGATGTGACCACTATCATAAGAAAAACAAAACATTAATGATATATAAAAGAAAAAAAAATGAAATACTGCATGAGATTTAAGGCAACCTGCTCCTGCAGGTCACTAGCATGACCATAAACAGAACTACTTTTAAATATCAGGATTGTTCCACTGCAAACAAAATAGGTGTCCTCTATTTGTTGAGTTAGTTTAATGAAGTTAGCTTCTCCCCAGGCTCTTAGAGTCTGCTCGTATAGAATCGTGGTTTTCATTCACTTTTCTGTTAACTTGTTTTGCAGAAGAATTTTTTTTAAAAAGTAAAAATTTAAAATTAAACAAAAAAAAAAAACAAGAACACAAGAACAAAAGCCAGCGACAAAGACAACGTCATGCAAGTTCTTCCATTCCCAAGTCCTTTCTGCTTGCTTAAGCTGTGCCTGGTGATGTGGCTGGGGTGGGAGCTGGGGGGAAGTTGGGGTTGGAGGGGGACACTTTCAGGGGGGGACTTTTTGTTGGGAAAGCAACATGGAATATTGTCTTTTGCTCGGAGAGGGAAGGGGGATGTTTTGTTTCTTTTGTTTTTCATATTTTGCTTTTGTTGTTTACTTACAGTTGCAAGATCCAGAGTGCTTGACTTCCAGCAGCACCCCCAGAGAACAAGCAGCTTGCTTCATGGCACATTCGCTGGGATATGTGGTGTTGTCACTGGCACACACCGCCTCGTCCGTCCGACTCTCCGGACAGGCCTCGTCACACAGCGAGCAGCGGCCTCGGCCCATCCGAGCATCCCACAGACACTTCTTCCCCGCGCTGCACTGGATGTCCTCACATGACTTAGCCTCTAGAAGAAGAGAGGAGGAAATCACCACAGAGGGAAATCTTAGGTTAGATGGTTTATCAAGAATGCTTTTCAGAACGAGTGTTTGGAGAATAAAGATCTAATCCTGCTCTACAGGTTGAGGCCATGTGGTAGGGAAGAGAAAGCTGTGCTTCAAGTAACATTTCTAAGCCCACATGACTCAGACTGACTGCTATCTGGATAGGAATCCATCTGACTCAAAACTTGAAGCATGTCTTCATGGCCCCCAGCACTCCCCTGTTTTGCTCTCTCTCTCCCTCCCCCCTCTCCTTCCCCCTCTCCCATATGGGATAGTGCTGCCAACATCAGGAAATAATAAGATGTCTATCATTTCTTGAGCAAACACAAGCAACTACCAAACACACACATACACTCTCTCTTTCTGAGACCCCCTTCTCACTGGAATGTTGGCAGAAATGAACAGTGAATTACTGCAGAGCTGGCCAGGAAGAAAACGCACTCAAACAATATTCTAAGTCAATGACTGGAGGCGCTCTCGGGGAGTCTCACGCTTTCATGTCTCTGGCTGCAGACTTACTGATGCATTTTCCCTCATATGCAACTCCGATGGACCTGCCGAGGAGACAGGTAGCTCTTCTCAGGTGACACGCGCTGGCATAGATGATCCCGTCGTTTCCACACAGGTACTGCTCAGGCGACGTCACCTCGGGGCAAATCCGATTACACGTCACACAATATGCGTTATTTGTCTGGTCCACGACGCATGTGGAGCTGCCGGGGCACAGGACGTCACGGCAGGTTTCTGGAGAGACAAAGGAAGATTTTATGAACAAATGACAAAATAAATCATGATGAACCAAATGCATGTTCTCTCATTGTTGCAAAGAAATCTCATCCAATATTCACTTACTCTTGCATTTTCCTTGGTACTGCACGTCCAGGTCGGGGTGGCCTTTGCATTTCGCCTTCAGCAACGCGCATTCGTCTTTGTAGGTTTTCCCATCTGATCCGCAGACTGGTCCTTTCCAGGTGATGTTGGAGCAGTCTGGCGCGCACACGCAGCGCGGCTTACTTCTCCTGTTCATCTTGCACCTCTTTCCAGGCCCACAGTCAACGTTATCGCAGGTTTCTAAAATAAAATAAAAAAGGTCTGTGGTGAGGATTTTGGCCTTGTGCGTAAAATGATTCTTAAAGTGCACACTGAGAGGGGATGTTTTACGCATGTTGTCATGCGTAAATCAGATCACCAGCATGATTTAGCAAACAGAATGACTGATGATGTGTATTATGAGAAAAACGAAGGGAAATGAGTGCACCTCCACCTTTGCAAGGTATGCAATTGGGGGCTCCGCCATTGAAGATCATCCACCTAAAGAGCGTGCTGTTGGGGACGTCCTCCTCGGTCCAGGACGTCCCCAGTCTTCCACTCCGACAGCACTCCTCCCTGCTCATCCCGGGCATGTAGAGCACCTGGCACCTCCCGTTCTTCCCCTGCTGCAGCCAGCAGTTCCCAGCTGTAAAAAAAAAAAAAAAAAAAAAAAAAAAAAAAAGGAGAAAGAGTGAAAAAAAAGCTCGAATGTCGCATGTTGAACGTCTAAAACCGCTGACCCAGACGCACTAGACACACACGCAGCCCGTATTATCCGAGACGCTCCCTCCCTCCCCTCTCGCCCTCCCGGCAGTATTTTGTCTGATTTTTTTTTTTTGCGAGACTGTTAACACTTGCCTATCCCAACTGTGACTGACAGCCCTTACAATGCAGCCACAAACCAAAAAAAAGTAAGAAGAATCTTCGGAGGGGGGGTTGTCCTTTATTCCCAGAGTCTCCTTGTTATCACTGGACAGAAACTGGAGCGTCTAGACAGCGTTAAATAGCAGCCAATCTCTCTCCTTCAGAAAACCACGGTATTTAGGTAACAAGGCTAAACACACCACCGTCTCCAACGCCTCATTACATTATCCCAGACATGTAGCCACCAGACAATGACTTCCTTATTAACAAAACACTGCAAAGTTTTTCTTAAAGATATAAAAATCAGAAACAGAGCAGTTATTCCGTCTCTATACCACAAAAATATCCTTTGATCCAGTCAGCAGCAGGGTGTTTAAACACACATAGGCACACATGACATTATGTGTTCATGTGTTCCTCTATTGAACACAGACTTCTGTTCAGTCTGGTTGAAATACAAGCCCCGAAATAAAGTAAAAACACTGGTGCAAAAGTCTACATTATTTTTTTTGTCATAGTTAAGACTGAAAATCTTTTTGCACACAATGTTGAAAGGGTGCGTGCAAGAAATGTATGAGTAACACGCCCATAAACTCACAGTGGATATTCTCAAGTTTGTTGCAGGATTGCCGAGGACATCATGCAGCACTAAATGCTCACACAAAAGTATCGAAATATGCTCCAGGTATTATGGAGAGCTGACGGTGCCACCAACACGGCGTGGCGGCTTTAGTGTGTGTGCGCCTGGCGAGGGCTGCAAAACCTGCCATGTAGTCTCACTTTGAAGTGTCCCATATGGCACCTGTTTTATATACGCTTTTACGCACGCACAGTCTGATGCGGAGAGACTTTTATTAGCGCGGAGAAATGAGGAAACTCACTTTGAAAAGTTTCTCGGTGGCAGCAAGTATCCGACTCTGGCGCGTTTTTTTTTTCTTCTTCTTTTTCTTTTGCGGCTGACAGCAATCGAAGTTTCTCAAAAAACGGAAAGAATGCAAGGGAATGGATGAGGAGAGCTTACCTTGAACTTTTTGATGTTCCATGAGGTGACAAAGCCATACGAACAAGAGAAAAATGCCCGGGTGAAGATGGTGTTTCAGCATCCCAAACATGATGGAGAGGCAAAGTGAACCACGTATTTGACACAGGCAGCGCAAAAGTAATCTGCTTAAGGTGGCAGTGTTGAATAAGTGTCAGTCTGAGAATGCAGCCTCTCTTTTTAAATCTATAAGGGGTCTCGGGTTGACTGTCTCTGGTGGGCGGTCTCCTCTTCTGTGGGGGTGGGGAGATTTTTTTTTTTTCTTACCAAAGTTCTTTCAATCCTAATCAGGTGACATCGTTACAAGCAACTTTCTCTTTGCCGCAATAATTAAAGAATATGAAATTATTTGCAATAAAACGTCACATTTTTTTTGGAATCAGGCAGCTTTGTGGGAAAACAAAAGAAAGTCGGCAGATCAGACAAAATGTGCCACTTGATATGAATTTGGATTTTGATGAAGAATACAGTTATTAAGATTTAAATTCAATAAATTGGGGGCTTTTGTCGTTTGGCACAAACTGCTGGTTTTACGCACGCTTTACGCACAACTTGGGTATGTGCCTTGAAAGCAATAATAATAACAATAATAAAAATAACAACAATAATAATAGTAAATATTAATAATAATGATCATATTTCCTTATATATCATGGCCTATATTTATTGCTGTACAATCAAACAGGCCCACAGCCAAAAATACCTCACCGGACACAACATGAGTCAAATGAAGTCAAATTAAGGGTACTACTGGTAACTGATATTTTTTCCACCAACTGCGGACAAAAGTGCAAATCTTTTGATGAGAGTTGCCATTTGGAACATATCCGAGCCCAGACAATAATAGAATTCATAGTAGTCCGCAGCCGCACAGCTAATATTAGAACAGACAGTTGTTTGGGTTTCTCTCCCGGGTCAAGCTTTTAAATATAATCAAACCTGTTTCCGAAGAGGCTTCAGACAGAGGAGCGGGGTGTTGCGTTTCATTGAATGAAACACACACACACACACACACACACACACACACACACACACACACTGAACTCCTTCAGAAGTCCTTGCGCGACCTCTTCAGCGGAATTCTGGTTACAGCTCTCCAGAGCAAAGAGCAAAGTGTCTGCTTGTGCGAATCAGACACCAGGGAGTTAATTATCTGACGGGCAAGCAGGAGACACTGTGTTCCCTTTCTTTAATTTCAGTTAAAATGCCACTTGGGTATCGCTTGTCTACAAAATATGAGAATACATGTAATCAAACCTCTCCAGTATTCCCACACACACACCGAGCTGTGAATGCTGTTGCCTTAAATAAACGGACAGAACAACCTATATGATCATAAATTATTACCGCTCTTTATTTTTAGAGCTTTGTTCTGAACCCATTTAAGCATTATCATTACTGTTACCAGCTTTGAGCGAGGTTTATTTTATCACAAAGCTCATTCACACAAAGATCCCAGGATTAGAAGGAGCTTACTATGAAAAGATCATCATACAAGTAACTCTTACATTCCACTGGTTCACATTTTTCAACAACACAACCCGCTTTTGTCCTCATTCAGCACAAACAGAGGCTGATTTTTAGTGCCTAGAGTCGTTCTGTGTCATGCAAAAAGAGGGGCTCTTGCACTTTTATTAATGCTCTGTCCTTTTTGTGATCCACTAATGGGACTCATGCTACAGTATCCTGAGCCAACAGCAGCATCAGAAACAGGAATCAGCTGGAAGACTCGAAATCAAGGATGCAATCAAATTAAATCAACAAAAAATAGCCTCAACGCTGGAAATATGGAACTAAAACAAATACTCGGACCATTATCTCCAGCAGTTATCGGCTATTTTAGACTCTCTGGTGCCAAAACTGTGTATGTTTTGTCCTCATTTCAATTTAATTTCTTAATAATAACAAGCAGTCATCATGCAGTGCACTTCCAAAGGTATCTGCAGAAAGACTTATCAACATGATTTATGACTCATGTTGACGAATCACTCACTTAAAGCATTATGAAACTGTGCATGTTTGGATTAAGGGTGAAGTTTTCAGCCAACATTTTTGGAGGAGTAAACATCTCCAGAAACATCTCTGTGCGATTAAAGTCAATTAAGACGTCTGAGGGACAGTTTTACAGCCTCATTCTTACTTCTTTATCAAGCTTCATGACTTTATCAAGCACGCTGAGCGATTTGGTGATTAAAAAAAGGCATTTTCTTTTATTCAGATATCTGTGTGTGTGCAGCGTTGTGGTCAATAAAGTTGCATTTAAACTTTAAAGCAGCAGTTCTACACCTTAGGAATTCCAAAATTCCTCTCAACAAATCCCAAAACGTCCACCCGATGCTGACGAGCTGTGTTCCGTCAAATCACTCAGTGTCGGGCGTGAGTGATTTGTGAGATCAGTGTCTTTGAAGAGTTGAAGTTTCCAAAACACTCCCTGACATGCAAGTACATTTCTGCCCTGCTGTATCAACTTTAAAGTGCTGGCTGTTGTCCTGAAGCCATTAATGGCACAAGCAAAAGGGACGAGCGGGGCTCCGGGCTCCGAGCTGCCTTTGGTTCAAACGGAACCATGAAGCAAACCATTAGCACTGATTGGAATGTTTTGCCATTATGAGGAAAAATCCCAGTCGTAGAACTCTGTGATTGGTTGCACACACTCCCGGTGCCACGGGGGATGACATTTAATCTAATTTGATAGAGGTTTTTTAAAACTCAAAAAGGCTGTCATACTGTGTGGCTGCATCTACGACAACATCTACAGTTTTATTTTGAACACGTGTGACAAAGTTTTTTATTATCAAATGAAGTCAATGGGAACAGTCAGGACTGTACCAGCTCATTAGGAGTTGCAGGTAAAGCTGAAGGTTTTAAAAAGTGCAACAGCAACAACAACAAAAAAAAGAGGGCCAACAGTTACCAGATAATTTGCTATGACATCACTGTTGATTTACAAGAACATTGCAGCAATTTGTGAGCAATCATCCCGTCGTGGCACAGGCCAGCTGTTTGGCTCGAGCTGCCAATCATCTGCAGGAAACCCCACAGGGATGAATTTACAAAAAAAGGTGTACAAACTCTTCCACTGTATCTCATTTCAGCAACTATTTCCACATTTCTCCCTGCACACATATACATGAGAATCCAAGGGGCTGTTTCACAACGCGAGCGGTGCATGAGTGAGTAATTGTGAAACAGACCTGTTCAATCATTTATCAAATTCTATATATCCCCCTGCAACGAGAAAAAAAAAACAAAAAGGCCAGGATTCCAGAAAATATGCTACTTATTAGGGACAAACAGCAAATTCCACTTTCAGCAGATCCAAAGAAATGAATACGAGAGACTCTGCTGGGTGCTGGTGTTGGCTTGTCGAGAAGGAAAACATTCAGAAACACATTCCGAAACAGCCGAGGGACAGGCTGAGCGAACGGTGGGAGAACATGACGGGGGAAAATGTGAGAGGAATTAATCGAGTTTGAAGGAAAGCTTCAAGTTGTGCTGACGTTTGAGAGCAAGTGGTCCAAGTTGTTTTGTTTTTTTTTTTATAGCAGGGTCAGGATTTTTAAAAGATGTTCCAGTGAGAGGAGAGAAGAGGAATAAAATCCAAAAGTGGTCCTAAAACATGATGGAGTGACTCCTGATGATGTGACAGGTCCAAGTTATCAACAGCGCAGTGAGAACACCTGAACAGGACGACTGTATCATGCTGCCATCTTGTGGCAAAGCGGTGCTAGTACAGACCTTAGATTAGCTTTAATAAAACCTCTCACAGTCTTGGTTGTGTTTAAACTAAGTTGGTTGCTGACTGGTGAATAACCAAAAGCAGTAATTATGATCCATCACGTTGGATTGATTTCTGATTCCCGTTGAAGCCCGGTGATGCAGGATCACACACTTCACTGACTTTTACCCAAACATTGGAGAAAAAAACAAAAACACAACTGCTGCAAAACAAAACTGAAAAAGAAGAATAAACTTTTCCACGTGCCCAAAGACCGTTACTCCTGTCTCTCATATGCAGCCGGCGTGCAGACAAGTCAGACAGAAAACAAGTCAGCTTAGGTGCAAAGTTTAGATTTACAAAAACATTGAACTCAATGGAAGTGCGACCAGAACCAGAAGCGTTTTCCACCACATCTGTTAGCGCTGATCAGAATACTGACAACTAAAAGCTAAATCAGCTGCTTTATAAATACTGTATCCGTCATTTCCCACCAGGAAAAAGTGAAAAGCTCCTGAAAAGCCGTGCTATAGGTGGCCCTCCTTCCCAAAATTAGAGCTGAAGCAATCATTCAATAAATTAACCCAGAAAACGACCCTGCCACTGTTTCATAGCTGATTTCTTGGTTTGAGCTGAAAACATTTGTTGGCATTAACTGCTTTTCTGTCTCATAAGCCGGCTGCGTAAATATATATTCGGACTCTGTGCTGGAAAAAGCAACCCACATGAAAACAGCTCCTCCTGCCCTTTGCTGGGCCTTTTAAAAATCTCCTGAAATGAAACAGGCAAACCATTATCCTACGAGTTATAATCAGAAGATTATTCAACTATGCAAATAACAGTCAGCCCCGAACACTACGCCGCTAAACTCGTCATACCTGAAAAGTTATGTGGCTAATGGTAAAAATAAAAAATAAAATAGTACCACCAAGGAGCTACTCCACTGATCCATATTGCCAAAAATCTTTTCAGATACAAAACCCACAATGAAACATCACAATTTTAACTTACAGTATGTACAGTACAAATGCAGTGAAACCAAATAATTACACATTTCACCCTTTACAGGACACGTATTGATTCTCTTTTTGCATATAAGCTACTGATATCAATAGTGTTAATGCAAAAAAAGCCCTGAGTGCCGGACCGAGGATCTCAAGGCAGGTAATGCTACAGAGCGCCTATAGTGTGCATGTTGGTGTAAAAGCAAATAGCTATGTTTGTGGTTGTCAGATTTTCTAAATGAAATGACCAGTCACATTGTTGAGAATTAAACTAAATAAATTAGATGCCTTTACAGTGTAAAACTCTGGATGGCAGCCTTTGCATCCAGGCTGATTCTGTGGCCTCAAAAAACTTTTCTAAAGCTGTGGTTCTGTGAAAAAAACACAAAAATTAAAAAAAAAAGTCAGTGCATGATAGCAAATAGCAATCCACAAAGCAAAAAGACAAAAAACAAAATCCTCTGGACAGAAGATTGGATCCCAGTTATCCACCAGCTGGACCGAATCCGTTTCATTAAAATGCCCAATTTCCAGTGACTGAGCTGAAGTCTCTCGACAAGAACCACGGAGAAGAACCGGCATCCACCCTGGAAGCATCCAGGAGACACAGAAGGCTGCAGGTTTTCTCTTCACTTCACAGAACTCCGTCGGCGTTGGCGTGACTCTGGCCGTCGTCGTCGGCCTCCTTCTGAAGCTGCTGGTACTTCCTTTTGAAGAACCCAAACTAGAAAGTAAACAGACACAGTAGTAATGTCCATCCATCCATCCATCCATCATCTATATACCGCTTAATCCTCACTAGGGTCATGGGGGGCGGAGTCTATCCCAGCTGACTCAGGGTGAAGGCAGGTTCACCTGGACAGGTAACCAGTCTATCACAGGGCTACACTTAGAGATGGTACTTTTCATGACAGCTTCACTTTTTAGATTTCAACCCACCCACAATCGGATATCATTTGATCTACTTGTCCGATACGACAGAATCAGTGATATGATGAGAAATAACAGCTACAATCTCAGGCTTTAATCTTAAATAGTTATTTTCACTCAAACTTAAATTTCAATGTCTGAGAAAACGTGCAGAAAAAGGGTCAACAAGCATTTACTTAATATATTAAGCTAAAGTTTCACAGATGCCATTTGTAATATCAATAGTTTATGATAAAAAGAAAAGTTTTCAAGCAAATCAAAGATGGTCGAGCAGAAAAAACTGAATAAAGAAGAGCTGCTCAGATGGGCAGAACACTATAAGGGGAAACATTCCAGATAAAACTCTTAAAGACGATATTAAAGCTGCGCTGAGATCCAGACTCATGGAACGAGGCTTTATCTGTCAGGACGAGCAGGTTAAAGGATCAGCTGCAGATCTGGTCAGATTTTCTGTTCAGACACACGGACTAACATCTGAGCAGCAGAAAGAATTGTTGTTGTTACAGTTGGAGCACGATCGGACAAAACATGAATCGGAAACCAGGAAGTCAATCGAAACTGAGAAAACCTGCCAGCAGATTGAAAGAGAAAAATTAGAGGTGGAAGGATGTCTTCTGTCTTCGAATACTGGCAACCGAAGCCAGGAACAAAACCAATCTGGAGTACGAGCTTTTGACAGCAGTAACTTGCGGTGGTTCCCTCCTGATGATTTGACATGTAATGACCTGCACATCGCCCTCTGCTGCCCGAGACTGGTTACAGGTAAGTCAGGTTTTGGTTTTAATCAACATAAAGTTGCTTGTTTCTATGAAAACACAGATGAGGAACTTTCTCCCTCCTCAGAGGAAGAGGTGGCAGAAATACCACCAGTTTCATGAATAATTTTCTTTTTATTATTGCCGCTGAAAGGCTCGTACCTTCCACAGCAGCCCGACGGCCAGAGCCAGCAGCAGCAGACCAGCTATGACGCTGCCGACGATCACGCCCACCGGGACGTCGCCTTTCTCTCCAGGTTTGCTGACTGTCAACACCACCTGGAGGAGAAGCAGGAGAAAAGAAGAGGGTACATAGAGCATGAATAACAAATTCTTACGATATTATTACGATTAAAATATGATTACATATGACCAGTATGCTAATGCTGTAGGATACACACAACATTGTTTGTCCTAAACTTCTTGATGTGCGGCATTAAATGAAAGTACCGACCGGCAGCTGTTTGAGGCCGATGATGAGCAGCTCAGGGTCGGAGGTCTCCACTTCCAGACTGGTGGTCAGCTCCGTGGTCTGATAGGTGGCCTGGCATGGTGACGTTATAGACATGAGAGCACTGAAGGCATCATTATGAATTCATTAATCAGTACCATCAGAAAACAAGCAGCATTGCAAATTTTACCGAAATAAACGTGCCGCTCCAGATCCTCGTTTTCACTTTCACAAAGTAGTCGCTCTTAACTTCCGTGTCCTTCAGGATGCATTTCATGGATTTGCATTTTGCGCTCTTGCAGTCCTGCAGTCAGTTAAAAACACAACAGAAATAAATCAGTACACAAGAAGCACACACAGTTTCAAACTGCTTAAAATTTCTTCTGTGTGCGAAGTACGTGTAAAAAAAAGAAATGTTCTGCCATCCTGTGAGGTCTGCCTCCATCGCAAAGACTTGAAAAAGTCCTTCATGCCCTCATTTCCACTCTGCAGTAGTTCTCAAATCAGTCGTCTGTTCAGTGTTCAGGTACAAAATGTGGAAACGAAAACAAAAACTAGGAAGTATCGGCGTCATACCGCTGGCTTCCTGTCAGTTTCAGAAACTATGTTATGTCTTTAATTTGTATTTTTATATCCTCATACTCCTGCTGAGGTTAAACAACCACTTGTTCTTGAACCTCCTGAGATCTGAGTTCCTGGAGAAGTTTACCTGACATGTGGAAACTGCTCAGACTTCAGAAACTTGCAGAAAGCCGCTGCTTGTTTCTGCCGACATTCGATTCATAGTTTGACTCTCTGACTTCATCCCGTCCTGTGTCGTATTATTAAGCTTTTTATTATTTTAATGTGTTTTTTCTCTGATTTCTCTTCAGTCACTGTGTTTTTACTGTGTTTTATGGCTTGCTGTTGTTTTTAAATGCGCTTTATGAATAAATTTGACTTTGCCAGAGATATTTCTAAGCCTGTAAGTTGCTAAATGTGTAGACCTGGAGGTAGCAAGTGCAGCACAATATGAAGACATTTGAAGTAAAGTATTGCGTAAAAATGATGAATACTTTAGACATAAAATTCTAATTTCTGTGTACAAACTTTTTAAAAAATTTATTTAGAAAGAAAATATACTATTTTATGTTCTGAAAAATATACCCGAGTACATGTAAAGCTACAGATTTGTGCACATCTAGCTTCTCTAACATACAAATAAAAACAACACATGATTCGAGAGATGGAAGAGGCTGGAAATATGCAAAGAAATCACCAGTTTCTCGATGCCTCGGAGGCTTTCCTCGGTGAAGGACGCCGTGTGGCTCTTCACTCCGATCTTCAGAGGATCGACCAGGCCGCTGGAGTCACAGCTGACGGAGCCTCCCTGCAGGTGGAGGAGACCGTGGTCATTTATCCCAGACGTGTCCCACTCCAAATCAGCTTTACAGTCAAATCGGTCAAATGTAATTCAAGATTTCACACAGTCTGACATAGAAAAACAAATCCGTAACGGCGTCAAGCATTTTTTTGGCCGATAAAACTCTAAAAAACTAGTAAGCAAAGAGTTGTTTGAATGTCTCTAAAATCTTACACACAGATGAACATGAACACTCACGGCCTGCGTCTCCACTTTGGTGACATAGAGCAGCGGGTTTCCACCTTTAGTGCTCATCGGCAGAGCGACGGTCAGATACAGGAGGCTGACGGGGAAGTTACTGGTAGAAACCTGCAAACATCAGTTATATGTGAATATTTACACATTCAGAGATAAGAATTATATGATGAAGTTTTTAAGATTCATTCGTCGCACCTTCACTGTGAAGTTAAACTCCGGGCCGATGTCATCCAGAGTTTTCACCGTCGTCACCACGGGAACGGTGGCGTCCGCCACGTAGAAGTTGATGTTTGACTGCCTGCAAACAAAGAGAGGATCAGATTAACACTTTAATGGCATCATTCACTGTCAATCTAGAATAACACTAAGGCAGCAAAAAGCAAAGTCACCTGGATAGAACAACCCCCGCGTCGTACTGAACAGGAAAGGAGAAGTCCACCTTGTTGTCTGCAGGTCGTTCCTCTTTTCCATCACTGGAGAGGAAAACACGCATCATTACAGGCCGACAGTTTGAAACACGTTTGACATTTTGACGGAATTTCTTAATAATGAAGTGTACCTCTTGGCCTCAAACTTCACCACAGCTTGGTTCTGCAGCTGATCCAGACTGTATTCAAAATTGATCTGAAACTTCATCTGTAGGGACACGACATGATGTTTGGCATGAGCAGGGAACATGAAGGAACCGGTCAAACAAAAGCAAGTAGAGAAACAAGCTGTACTTACTTCTTGGTCTTTTTTTAATGCTGGATATCCCACCTGGCAGGTGACAGTTTCTGTTTGTGTTGACGTGCATTTGACTCCATCTGTCTGTAAGTTTAGAGTTCAGAATTCATGACTTGTTTCTTTATTTTTATACCTATGACAATAAACTTAAACCATTACTTGGTATTTATCAGGTTACTTCGATGACTTTTCCACATTACGTCATCGTAAACTGCATTCAGTTCAGCTTTTCTTCAACTCACGGGAGGAAAGACGGAGGAGTAGTAGAGGTTTCCGGAGTAGGTGACCAGCACCTGGGTGTTGTAGGCGTTCTCCTTTTTGTTCTTCACGGCGACTTCAAACGACAGCTCTCTGTTATTGGCGCTGACCAGGATGGGAGCTGAGCTGTAACACAAGAGCTCAGATTACTGCTCTCTGCATTCACGTGATTTCACCTCCACGTGCCGCAGATTAAAGGAGCAAAGTCACAGAACCAGTCCTGTATGACCGACCAGAGCAGGAGGAGTAAGAAGGAACAGTGATTTCACTAAAACCTGGGGCCTACTGTGAACAGTGAGCGATGTGTTTTATTTTACAGTGGAGACATGCAGTACATAAAACTTGCACAATGCAGATTTCACACCAGAGCACAAAAAGAGGCAAACAGTCAAGTGTACAAACAAGAAAATCCAAAGTAGCTACAAAACCACAAACTTGTTCATAACTTTTCATGAGTTAATTCACTGAGGATCAACAACTTTGTATGTTTTTGTTAT